AGAGAGAGATAGATAGAGAGAGAGAGAGGTAGAGAGAGAGAGAGAGAAAGGAAGAAAGAAGCACATAATAGGTATTGGTATCAATCAAGATGTGTTTGTTTCCCGTGATCCGTTCCTTAGTCCCTGGTCCTTAGTCTGCTGGTCCGTCTCTTGGTCCTCTGGTCCCTTGGCCCGCATGCTACGCAATCTGCACCGGCCACGAACTTTGCACTTTGCGGCTCGCACAAAATGCTGTGCCTGCCACGAAATCTGCACTTCGCGGTTCACAGCATGCTGCACCTGCTACGAATTCTGCACTTCGAGTTGTACAAAGTGTTGCGCCTGTAAGAAATCAGCACTTCGACGTTCACAAAATGCTGCCACAAAATATGCACATCAAGGGTCACAATTCGTTGCACCTGCCACGAAATCTGCACTCCGAGGTGCGCAGAGCGTTGTGCCTGCCATAGTATTTTTTGACACCAATATGTTCTTTGATCTCCTGAGACAATTTTTTGATCCCTATAATTTTTGATCCCTCACCCTGAGCCCTGAGAGAGAAAAAAAGGAAAGAGAGAGAAATAGAGAGAAACAGAGAGAACGAGAGATGGAGGGAAGAAGGGGAAAGGGAAAGGTAAGGGTAAGGGGAAGGGAAAGGAAAAGAAGGAAAGCGCAGAGCAGAGCAGAGCAGAGAGGCGGAAAGGAACGCAGATCAGACACCATTTTTCTGTTTACGCGAATGTAGCGCTCACTCGCACACAAGATTCGATGGGAAAATGTATGTGAGGAAAGGGCAGCACTTTGGATATATTGGATATTTAAAGAACAGACGTGCCTCCGTAAAAAAATGTACTGAATGGTCAAAGCAGCTCCAGTCACTTTGCAACGTGACCCAACAACAGCAACTGCAACAGCCACAACAGCGGCAGACAGCAGCTTGGATTCCAAGATGACCATTGGAAATTCAGACATCAATTGACAAGAATAATCTCTCACGCACACTTTGTCACTTTGCCAGTTGTCAGAAGCGCGCCCAAGACAGGAGTACCAAATGCACCTGCCACGCCTGCAGATGGAAGTGCCCACCTGAGAGTGTTCTGCCCCGCATAGTGGCATAGTGTCAATATCTGGCAATGTCAGAGTGCTCGTATGTATCGAGCTGCCTCTAAACGTGCCGTGTGGATCAGCTTTTTGCATTCGAACCCATTACTGTAGTAGAGGAGACCAAGTTTGGCCATATGTGTCCAGGTGCGAGTGGCCTACTGGGCCTGGCAGCGGCAGGTTTGTTAGTATGGGGCCTAGCAATTCTCAAAGAATTATATAGGACCCATTTGCATGCATTTGCATTTCACTTTGAATGCATTTGCTTGCTCTCCACATTTACATGAACACTGGTTTCTATTGAACTGGCAAGGCACGTTTGCATTACAAGAATGTGCAAGACACGCACCACATATGCAAGTTGGTTGACGTGGCGAAACCAAGACATCTGACAAGACTCGAGCCGTGCTCAGGCTCAACTGCCTTTCGATGTCGCTCCAATGCAGGCGAGAAACGTGCAGTTCCAGGGGCTTTCAAACACTTGTTTCCTCAATGAAACTTTCCAACCCAAGCCAAGATCTCTTTTGCAGCTCTTCCAACGCTTCCGATGGCAAATAACCTCTCTAGTAGGCGGTTTGGCCTGGCAAGTCTATCAAGTAATTTAGCAAACCAAAAGTTGCGTGTTCGCAAATAAGCATATACCTCAGAAAGAATGCACTGAACATGAACATGCGAATTACGCACGTTTTTCAGACTTCTACACTAGGCCCACCTTGGACCTCGGGCCATGTCCCTCAAGTTGCAAGGAAACGTTTATCGACAGCTATAGACTTTGCAGCTTGAGGAACACAGCCTGGACGAATGGTTGAGACACATGCTCATTCACCTTGCTGTTTGCATTCTTCAGTTGCCCAAGGCAATGGCAACGTTGCCACTGACATCGATGGATGGTTCTCAAAGAACACGTCCGACCACCAGCATTCTTGAGTGGCTGCTCCCTTTGCACTCTTCGCCTCTTCGTTGGAAATTCCTGCAGTTTCAACCTCTGCCAAAGATGTGGGGTTAAAGAGCATGCAACAAGAGAGGAAACTTGCAGCTGCTGGCACACTGGGAGGAAAACACCTTTAGTTAATCCGTTTGTCCAAAACTGGTTGATCCTATCAATTGTTCGAATCTGTGCAGAACTCATACAGAACCTACAACCAAGAAAATGTTTTTCACCTCAGCTCCGTGGTAGCAAATTTGGGCCACTGGAATTGACACGCTTGCCAATTCCAGATGTAAGGCCTCCTTCAAAGGGGGAACATACATCCTTACCTTCTTTTTATTGTTTCCTTTGCCTTTATCAAAAGAAGGCGCACCAAAGAGCATTTACATGCGACCCTAAGCACCCAGGTCAAACACAGAGCAAGACAATGCAAGACAGGGGGGAGTGGGAAGCGAGCTCTTGACAGGTGCCGTTAGCTCGACGTTTTCTTGAAGGCACCGTAGGGCTGTTTGGGCTGGTGGGAAAGTGTTGCAAGCACATGATGCGGAGGGCCGCACTCTTCAAAGCGCCAGAGCCTGCAAAGACAGAGAACAGATGCATTGCACAACCTAAGGTTGCCAATCCTTCAATTTGTTTGTAAATATTGTGAGGTTCAAGCCATCCTCGGTTTAACGCTGTTGTGCTAAAGCGGTCAGCATAGTATTAGATGTATTAGTATTGGTAATAGAGAAACCTTGCACATTGCAGATTGTAACAGGTACTTCCTTGATGATTCTATCACTCTCGTCACTTCTGCCCATGAGAGCTGGGCCGCCGAGTCGAGTTCCACGAGACAAAGATATCACTCAGTCTTCACTCCTTTTCAAGTCCACTCATACTTCATGATAACCAGGAATGATTGCACGCAAACAAACACTTCTCTTGGCAACTTGTGGGTACTGCAGCCATTCATTCTGAGTCGCCTCGCCTGCTTGAGGTGCTGGGACTGGCGGCAGCCCTTGCTGCAAGCTTCAGTCCAATTCAGGTTCTGACTTGCTGTTTCGCTGGGCTTCGCTGGAATTGATTGCAACGGTGAGATTGACATCTTGGCAGGGGCCGGAGGTTTGGGGAGTCCTGACATGGGCCTTGCTCCTGCTATTGGCTCGGAACCCCAGATCTCATCATCCTGTGATCACAAGGACATTCAATAGATTCAATAGAAGATTCAGATAAAGGTTGGAATGGAAAACTCAGGGGCTTCGAGCCTACGGATGTGCAATTCTCAGAGCACTTGACACATCACGACACATTTACATCCACAGAAAATTTTTACATAGATTGAGCCATGTAATGGCAGAGTCATTTTTGCATCATGGACTCGATGGGACTCCACGGGCCCACTTGATGATCGATCGGTTCCAGGTTCCGCACCTTCAACTGACTGACAACAAAATTTCCTATTTCAACTCTTGAAATCATCATGGTCCCAGTGTACAAGCATTTTCCAACAAACAGATTCCCACGATCTGGACCCGTCGTTCCGTTTTAGTTTGCAGCACCTGGTTTTAGCGAGTGGTTAACTCCAAGGGCGGCACGTGATTTGATCCAGGATGATCCAATTCATCCACGTTGCTGAGAGGCATGCCCCACTGCACCTGCAAGCATGGGGCCTTGGTGTTCGGATGCAGGAAATCTCTTCACTGAAGAACAGCCTATCCATGCCACGGAACCTCCAGAAGCACCACATGTCTCGACTTGTCTCATTTCTGCCAGTAGGCTGTTGTGATCCAGTACAGCGCCAAGGTCTGTTCAGGTTCTTGTCATTTATTCATTTCAATCTCACTTGCTAAATGCATGCCAAATGCATGCCTGACCCTAGGTTGTGCAGAAGTTGCTGCAGCAGGAGAATTCGGTTTATCAGAGACAAACCTTTGCAGACCAGATCAAGCAAAAGGAGCATGCTACTTGTTGCATTTATACTGGCTACAGTGGCTCCAGTTTGCTATATAGGAGCCTCTTGCATTGGAGACATTGGCATCTCAGGACAGACAGAGAATTTACTTTCAATCGGTCAGGTTGAGTTGTTGTCCAGGAATCAGCCTGTCATCGGTTTTCTTGGCATCCTTCGTTTTGAATGCTGACCCAAGATTAGACTTTTCCCACCTTCGGTACCTCAGTTCAGAATGATAAGATCATTTACAGAATGAAGAAGGTACATTGGCCCTGGCCCTTGCCTTCTTTTCTTTTTGGACCTTCATGGGATGCCACTGCTGAGTTGCAGGTGTTGCTGCTTCAGCAATATTCGGACTATGGGGACGAGGTGGAACGCCCTTTGGTCTGTGGTTACTACAGCACTGTTTCTCCTTCGTTCCCTTCCATTTCTTTCCTGTTCTCCCATTTGAATATGGCTTGTATAACTTGTCCTTTGGCTCTTTGACGTTGGACGTGGATTCTAGGAAGTGACCGCTTCGGCCAGGCATAGGGGGCCGGACTTCAGCAATATCCGTGCCTCGTCTTGAGGAAACCGGACAATGGACGCAGCCAAAATAGTTTGATTATGCAAACTTAGTCTTTCATGATTCATACATTGAGTCATGCGAATAAGGACTAGTGAGACTATTTGGAATAAGGTGGCGCTGGCTGCCCTTCGCTGTGCTGGAAGTTGCTCGTCTGGGTCCACGGCTCTTCAGGTCTGAACAGCAACTGCAGAGTTGTATCACATGGTTTCTCCGGTGTGCCCCGAAGGCCAAGGAGCAGACATTTGCAAAAGTTAGAAACTCCTCTAGCCATTCGTTTGCGCTCCAGAAATCGCCCAGCACATCGCTAAGTTTGCTTAACTTGTATAGGTACATGTTTTTCCCCTTGTTTCCCAAATTGGCCCAGGTTGGCTTGCTGGCTGCTACTTTGGTCCATGGGGCAGGCTGCTGCGCTTTGGTTTGACACTATACCCAGATTGCGGGTACCATGGTTTTTGAACAGCTCTGCAAGAGGTCGATTGGCGGGAATGCATGTTTGAATTGTTGTGTGTATGCAGGGCAGTGCTCTTATTTGCAAAAACTTGGCCGTCGCTGCCAGGTGAATCTCCACTTAGTGGCTGTAGGAAGCCAAGGGATGTTCCTATTTTCTACATGCTGTATGTATCGCATGCTGTAAGTTACAAGACAGTTGGTAAATTGATGTAAGTTAGTAAGTTGTAGAATCTTCAGCGTTTAGGGCTGTTTGTCTCTAGAACAGAAACCAATTCCCCAGGCTGCTCGGTGTGCGGGTACCGCCCTTCTGCTGGGTTTGGTCAAGGCAGGCCGTTCATTTGGCAATATGACTTTGGGCACTTTGAGCTGACAATGCTTGAAAACTAATTTCATCCGTAGAATCTTGGAGATTGAGGGGCGACGTACAGCCTTCCTCGATGGGCAAGACCGAGAACCTTCTTAGTCTGCTGCTGGTTAAACTTGTATGCATCCAAAAAACAGTTTCCGAGTTTTGCTGAGACTTAAATCCTTTCTGACTTTATGTCCCATTTTGTTCTTTGAGGCCGTGATGGTTCAAATCGACGTTGCAATGTGGACAATCCATTGCAAGAGCATTTCTTCAGGGAACATCAGCAGTCCAGCGTGCTCTCAAGATGCTGCACACGTTGTATTTATATATATATATATATATATTATATGTTTATGTTCGCACATGACACCACTTGGACCTCGAAAAGCTGCCTGGAAAGGTTCCTGGTACTGTCTTGTTAGTCACAGGAGGTGTGTTGCAGTGATCGTTGTCATTGGGCAACACCTGGCCTTTGCTTCCTTGCTTACTCCTGGGGTGGAGCAATGCAATGCGTTGGCACAGTTCGACTGTTGTCCGGCGAAGTGATAGAGATCACTGCGGAATCTTGACTCAACAAGCGCGGGTCTGCTAGAGAACGTGTATCTTGGAATCCTCCGACCGGAAACACTTCGGTCCGCCAGTCAACCGGAACTACACGTAAAGAGCTGTCTTGTAAACCAAATGTTTCTGTACGGAACGGTTAATACTTGTACGGTCGAGAGATCCAAGGGTGAAGCGAGGTTGTTTTTGTGCCCGCAAGCATTCGCAGGTGGTCCCACAACTGTGTGCCACTACTGTTGAGGTAACCCTGAAGTTGTGTCATTGAAACGGACATGTCAAAGTTTTAATCAAGCATGCAATTGCCACGGGAGAATTGTACCACAGCCGTGCTGCAACAGCTTTCATTGGATCCACCACTTAAACAAGATTGGAGATGTGTGAATCCTTTAATCTCCGAAACCATGCTTAGTCGCAGGTGGCATCAATAAGTTCTCGATTGTGAAAGAACTCATACCCTGCCCAAAGGATGATTCGATGATGGTGCTCGACATCAAGAGGCAAGTGGCACAGGTGCGATTGTAGCCGCTGACAGGTTTGTGGGCATCGAATTCACTTAGGGTTGAAGTCAAAGATCAAGGCTTTTACAGAGCTCTTTGAGGATGCCTGAACAAGTGGCTTCCACTCCAGCGACTGGGAGCTTCATACATAGACGCAAGAAACTCAAATTTAGTCCATAGAACGTTGGAGGCTGTTATAGGTTTGTGTGCCTGCTTTTTAGTTGATGTTCGATTTCCCATGCATCAGTTTCAGTACATGATGGTTCAATTTTAGTTGATGTCGACTTCACGCAACTTCACGCAAGTGGGTTGACTTCTCTCTGAAACCTTGTGCCCAGTGAGTTGACTTCACGCGACGCGGGTTAACTTAAGTACGCTGCTTGTAGTTGTTGGAGGTCATATGGAATCTTTGCAGCTCTTGTCAGACTGTCGCGTGCCGAAACCCGTTCCACTTTCAAACCCCCAGCAATCCAAGCAAAACCTCCAAAGTGCGTTTGATTTCTATAAGTATGCAAAAGCAGCGATCCCGTGATGTCACTCACTATGGTGTATGACTTTGGCGAACGGCCAACCTCTGTCCGAGTAATTTTGGGCAGGCACTATCTTGTCCAACGTTCCTTCTCACACTTTTGCACCGCGGCACTGTGCTACATGCAGCTCAGGACTGAACAGACAGGTCCAGCTTACTTTCCGGATGCATTCTGCTTTCTGTTCTCTTCCTTTCCGTGAAATGTGCTTTTGTCTTCTTTTGGTTCTGGTGTGTCTTGATGTAGCTCTGCATGAAGAGCATGTCTCCCAGGAGCTCAGAGGCCTCGATCTCCAAGATCTTGTTGTGGTGAGGTCTGCTCCCCTGGAGGACTTTGCAGCGTGGGACTCCAACGAAGACTTGCTGGAGGTGCTCCGTGGTTAACGGATGGTTTCTTATTGTCTCAAATGTATTTCTCATCATTCTGTTGAGTTTTACAACTACAACAGATGTGAATCCAGCAAAGCAAGTCTGGGGCAAAGGTGTAAAATCTGTAGTGTGACATGGCTCGAGAAGGCATTCACTTCATTTTTTGAGAGCGTTGGTGCTTGGGGAAAACGAACCGCACGAAGCATATTTTACGCAATATTGATGGCAATCTGCAACTTTAGTTGAGATTAATGGTGGGCCTGAAGAGGCAGTAGCAGCTGCAAATGTCCCCAAGATCGACGAGATCCTGGCAACATCCCGAGATGACAATGAAAAGCAGAGGTTGAAAGAGCCCAACGAGCTTAGACGTGGAAAGACACCTTTGCTGTTGGCGAGTGAGCAAGGGAAGACCGAGGTTGTGGAGCTTTTGGTTCAGGCAAGACATAAGCCAAACAAAGGACGCTACTAGGAGCAAAGGGCATCGCTACTAGGAGCAAAGGGCCTTACTACTAGGAACAATGTTTGCTAGTAGAAACAATATATAAAAACAAGAAGCTTTATATAATTAGAATCTAATTAGAATCAAATTAAAATTACTAAGACCAATGACCATATGCCGTGTGGGTGATCGTAGGTCCAGTAGGGATGATGGTAGTACTGTAGCCCCTTTTTTTGTCCCTATGAAGCATACTGCTTAATACTGCTTAAATAATTTGTAATTAATCAGGTTTTGCAACGCCAACATACGTCAACTTAGTTGACATGAAGAGATCTCTTGCAAACTTTGGCAGGCCAAGGCAGACGTCAATAGTTGTGGGCAATATGGCAGGAGCCCTCTCCAGATTGCTGCAGAGAACGGGCACCTGGAAGTTGCGAAAGTGCTGATCCACGCAAAGGCAGATCTTGACAGTCTCAGCAGATGTGGCCGGACACCTTTGCAACTTGCTTGTGAACATGGACACTTGCAAGTGCCTTGCCTCCATACTGGACAACAGGCTTTCTTGGACTGCCCCAAAATTCGAAAAGAGAGAGAGAGAGAGAGATATCGAGCCATCTACGATTTTTTGGAAGTGATGTAAAGCCAAGCAACTATAACTATCCGATCCATGGGCCATGCCCTCCGCTTCCAAGGTTGCTCGGCTTCTGATCTTGGCGGGGGTTGATCTAAATTTGACGGGTCGATGCGGCCGAACTCCCCTCCAATTGGCCTCCTGGCTGAACAGCTGTACTAGCCGAGTGACACTTTTTGATTGCTTTTGTGGCGTTCTGCTGAATTTGACAGTGGTACATTCGGCATGCATTTGAGATGGACTGTAATGCCTTCACGGTGTCAGCAATGTCTGAAGCACCACATGCGACTCTGGGGTTAGTGACTCAGTTTGCTATAGTTAAGTTTCCCAAGAAAGCTACGAACCAAATGAATAGCGTGAGCTATCCTGCGACCTAAGTAAGTAGTTATTGTTTCTCTACTAGCGGCCTCCCCGCAAAAAGGACGATTGACACTGAAGGGTGCAACCTAGTGAAACCTACTACACTGACACTTCCAATCTAAGGCTTGCGAGAACCGGCACATGGAGATAGCTCAGACACTGATCCGCTGTGGAGCTGACATCAACAAGAAAGGCACATTTGGTGGGGCACCGATGCAAATTGCAGCCGAGCAAGGTAACCTGCAGTTGACACTGGGATACACTAGCATTGAACTTTTGAGGGACTGAAAAGAGTGGACATGGGTGTAACAATCTCTGGAATGATGAGTCATCAAATGTTCCTCATGTTTTTGGTTCGTCATCTCCACGCTGTTGACCGACAGCATAAGTCAAGGATCAAGTGTCTCGCAAAGGCACGTGCTGATGTCAATATTACGAGCAGATACGCACGGACTCCGCTACAATTAGCATGCGAGCATGGCCAGTCAGAAGTGGTGAACTTCTTGATTGAACTCGGTGCCAACGTCAACAATACCAAAAGCTATGGGCGAACTTCTTTGCAGCTGGCTTGTGAACAAGGTCATGCAGAAATTGTCGAGTCACTTGTTTATGCAGGTTCGCCGCGGGCAGTGAAGGGGGAGAATCGAGGTTGTGGACTACAATACGATCAACACAGCGTTTTTCTGCTCTGCATTTAAACACCTTTCAGCAGATGGGCTTACTTACATGTCTTTGCTCTCGCGAGCGGAGATGAGAATTCACGTACATTTCAAAGGAGTCATTGGTATATTTCTCCAGTAGCTTCCTTTGCAGCCACTTCTTGAAGTGCATTCTGAGCATGACTTCATGATACTTTGTAAGTACTACCCTATCTTCACCTGTCCGGTCCTGCTGGATGCCAGGTGCGGACATTAATGTCACTGGCAGTTATGGTAGGACGGGGTGGGTGTTGAGCAAAGTTCAGTTTGTTCGCAGATCAGTTCTTTCTCATCGTTGATTTTGAACCTTTTGGACCTTTTCTCATCATTCTGTATGAAAGGGAACATCATTTAGTGTCCTTGCTCCTAGTAGCGATGCCAGGAGCCCCTAGTAGCTTCTTGTTCCTAGTAGTAAGACCAGGAACCCCTAGTAGCATCCTTGCTCCTAATGATTTCAATGCCTTGTTTTTACCAATTTGAGCGTGAAGACGTGAAGAGTAAGCGCCAGTCAACTCGGTCACTCGCAGGACTCCTTGGCAGCTTGCCTGTGAGAAGGGGCACTTTCAAGTTGTTCGAGTACTTCTCAAGAGTCATGGCCAAAAGAGCCAGATTCGGGTGCTCCATGTGGCAACTGCCACGTAAAAAAGAGCTGTTCTGGAGCTGTGAAGAGCTAAGGCTAAGGTAAGCGGTAAGCCCTTTTTACCATTGATTCAACATGGATTCAATAGATTCTCCAGTTATGCTTCATCATTCTTTGTTTGGCCAGGAACTTCCATGATTGAACGTGCTTCGAAGACCACTGGATACATCACCCAAACCGCAGGCAGCACAGGTGCAGCAAAGCAGCTGGCAGGTCAGCGCAATGTGGCTGGCCCTAGTTTTAGGACCTGTTGGTGGGTTTTTATACAGTGAGTTCACTTTCTCTTGGCTCTCAAACTTGCACGACTGCTGTTCTCCTTTCAGTGAGAGGCTGTTTGGGGGGACTTGCCTCAGACGAGTCATTCTTGCCTGCCAAGCTGACACAGCTTCGGCCTTCCCTGTCCTGCGTTGCATTGTCATGATATGTCGTGATATTGAGGAAGATATGCCCTTTGCTCCTAGTAGCTTCTCGCTCCTAGTAGTAAGGCACGGAGCCCCTAGTAGCGTCCTTCCTCCCAGTAGCGATGCCCTTCTCCTAGTAGCTCCTTGCTCCTAGTAGTAAGGCCAGGAGCCCCTAGTAGCGTCCTTGCTCCTAGTAGCGATGCCCTTTGCTCCTAGTAGCTTCTTGCTCCTAGTAGTAAGGCCAGGAGCCCCTAGTAGCGTCCGTGCTCCTAGTAGCGATGCCCTTTGCTCCTAGCAGCTTCTCGCTCCTAGTAGTAAGGCCAGGAGCCCCTAGTAGCGTCCTTGCTCCTA